GAAGCCGAAGAGGCCCGGCAAACTGCCACGAAGAGGGTCACAACAAATGGCTTCTCATTTTCTGAATCATTTAAATGACTCCAGAGTATGGGAGGCCATTCTTGTTACTACTTTGTCACTATGCTCTTTTAGTATTTGTAGTTGTATTTTCTTTTTTCTTCATCATCGTTCATCTTCGTTTTGGGCAAATCGCGTTCTTTTTTGTTACAAAGCGAGAAATTGATTATGGTTTAAATTAAAGTTACAAAAGAATGATAATCGTGTTTGTTTTAGAGTTGCGAATTATGATTTCGCGATAGTGTATTTTTAAAGTTGTCTTTAAAAGTTATACATAATAAAATTTATCTTGCTTCCTATTGTTTTGAATTAAATTATAGAGTTATTGCTTTTAATTAATTTTAGAGTGTTAGAGTATTAAAGTAGCTTTTCGTTCATACAGTTTTGTATTATTAATAATAATTTTCATTGAATTTAACAGTAAAGTGTGACATTATTTCATCGCGATTTCCAGTTTACTCTTAGTGTAGAGTACTTTTACTCTTAGTGTTGCGATAATGAATGTTCGCGTTTCTTGATGTAGCTTTGCGTTTACAAAATGCCTAAATTTTTCTACTAAATTCGTGGAAGGCTGTTTCTGCTTCTGGATCACTTGATGCAGCTACAAGAGCTGTACAGAAGTGGTTATTCATCAGCAATGTCCATGCATAGATTAATAGCATTGCGTACTTATTTTCTGGAGTATTAAACATAATAAAGCACTCTTCGCATTTGATGTTGAAAATTTCCTTTTTCTCAATTAGTGTGAGTGAATCAGTGTTTTTTACTCGGATTCACGTCGAATATAGATTTGACAATAGCTGTCAGTAACTTCTGGTTATTGTATCGAGTAGGATATGTTTATTCAGTAGCTCTTTTAGCTACTGTATCGTGATTTCTTTTTTAGTAGTCCTTTTCTTGTGAAATTCATTTTAAAAATTATTGTTGCGATATTTTTTCGTTGTGATTGTTTCTGTCTATTTTTTATTATAGATACTGTCTTTTTAGATTTTTACTAATTAGATCACGTTAGGATTGTTAAAGTTGAATTTTATAACTACATGAAACATATTTGCACCGAATATGAATTAGATTTATGATTAGATAGAATATCATTAAAGTAGCATATGATAGGAAACATTGGTTAATATTTCCAAGAGATATTGCTTTCTAAAGGTATTAATCTCTGTCTAATGACAATCTAATGAGTATTAAATAACCAAGTGTTAAATAACCAATTAAGAGTGGTATTCAAGTAAATACAGTAAAGTAAAATTGAAGAATAGTATAATTCTTCATGGAGTCTATTTCACATTTTTAGACAATGTACAACATTGATAGAAATTTGAAATATTGTCTCATACAACATTATAATCGTAGTGTAAATTTAATTTTTATTTTCAACCTCAAAATTTCATATTGGTTTCTTCTATAGTTCCAAATCAATACCAAAGGAAAAATGTGTTAAAACTCTTTCAAAAGCATTTCGTGTAATTCGGATCATATTATTTGATGAATGAAAAAAATTCATTCGTCGTACCAAAAGTAGTACCAACGAAGAAAATGCTATTACCGTCTTAGAAGCTATAGAACGCAATCCACATGTTAGTCGACAATCCAGAATTAGTCGATCAAGTGTACTTTGCATATTTCTGCTCATAAAATGCACCTATATCACTTATATCTTCATTAGGAGCTTCACCGACTTAATGGAAGACTTTTAGAAAATATATTGTTTACGGACGAAACAATATTTACCAATCATGGCGATGTCAATTTATGGAATTTACATTATTGGGCACTAAATAATTCCCATTGGACGAGTATTAGTTCATTAGACGCATGATTTAAAAATTAATTAAGATGTGCAAGTTACGTGAATCACTCTTACATTCAGTAGGTGTTGAAATAAAATTCAGAAAATTCTCAGTTTCGTACAACGTTTATTGTGAAATACTTTAATTAAGGACTCTAAGAATTACTTAAACTCTCACGCATCTCTTAAGCAATAATGTTATCCACGGCGGCGCTGCGACGATCGATAAAATCAATGCGTAAAACGCGCCGCGGAAGAAAGGGACGAGGATCAGAAGGGCAAGGATACGGTGTTTATGTACAAAGTTGAATAAACTCAACCGAAGAATTTGTTCTCCTTTCTCACAGGAGGAACAACCCCTTCGTATTCTTTTTTCTTTTCTTTTGTATAAAAACGACGACAGAAACGTTTCGCGAACGTCTACTAGGAGAGCTCAAACTGTCGACAACTTGCAGTAATAACACGGGTACAACTCAAGAATCTTACGACAAAAGTGGTAAATTGACCATTGATCCCGCATATAAAATTCCATTTCAAGAATGGCACAATAAAGAGAATGAAACGTTTTGACTCGCGAAGTATTTTTAGAAAATCACTTGTTTCTTGCTTTAAAATTGAAATTAATCGAATCAACGATCCCTCAGGAGTTCCTTCATTTCCGTTCGCGACGCGTTTCTCGTGCGACGATTCGGCACGTGTTTCCTCAAGAGAACTTGATGTTTGTTTTACTTTAGACTCTTGATGTTCAGACCCTTAAAAACACGCGTCACATGACCTATAGATCTCAACCATGAATTGCTCATTTGTTCGCGGTGAAACCGTCACCAGTTGGGTCGAGCAGCCATGGATAATAGTTCGGGCATTCCATGCAGGTGAACAAGCGAAGGGTTTCCCCGGGAAGTTCTCTAGTAGTCAAGGGACAGGCATTTGGAAGTGAACAGTAAGGTTGTCCTTTCTCGTCGCAGGTTTCTTTCCAATCTTGGAAGTCTCTCAGCGCTGAGAGTTCCGTCGGAGTTTGCATCCACTTTATCACCTGCAAGTAGAGTAAGAAAGTGTATAACCAGACAAGGCTCCAAGTGATTCCGTTTAGTTGTAGAAATAATTTTTAATTGTACTGTTCTTGGTTTATTAAATGGGTAACACAGTATATTGAAATAGAAAGTTTAAAGTAGAAAGATATTAATATTAATAAACTACAAATATTTATAAACATTCTTATTTTTATAGACACGAGTAAATGAATAGTGTTTGAGCAGAGATTTTTCATCTAGTAACAAGCACTTTACTTTAGGTTTGTGTATTAGGAGTTCGTATTTACTTACAAATAGAATGAGGGCGCATTTACTCGGACGGAGCGTGAAATTAATTTCTGGCTTAAGTGAATTAAATTTGTAGCGTTCGTACGTTTCTCATTGGTTTGAGATTATTAACTTATTTTTTTAGACATTTAGTTGATATTTAATTCAATTTTTAAAAATTGACATTTAACTTGTTAACCCCGAATATTCAAAGTAAAAATAGTATTTGAAAATCGTACAAGAACGAAACTAACAGACAAGTGATGGTTGATAGATTTTGAATCGATCGCAAACGTCTACAAATGCAGAGGAACAGTCAGAGAAAGAGAGAAAGAAAGAGAGAGAGAGAGAGAGAGTTCGTATCGTACGGCTAGATTGAAAGCGGAAAATAAATCAACGTAAAACGAAATAAAAGCGAGTCCGAGGCTTGATGGATCACGAATGAGAAACGTCGTGATGCGGCGAGATTGAAAACGGCAGATAAATTGGAATAAGCTGAGAGAGTCGTAATAACAGTTTCAGCAAATTTCTCTTGAATTAAATGCCATTTCCGCGTAATAAGTTTAAGAGAAAAACTGTTTATACCTCTAGCCAGAAATCTAGCCAGAATTTCTTTTCTCAAACTATTTCGAAAGATAGTATTAAATATTTTTAATTTCTAGTTTTTTAAAATATGTGCTACTTTCAAATAACATTCCTGTGCACCGTGACACGAGTAAATTGAACGAACACCAGAAATGATTTTCTCCAGGAAACAACTGTCGAAATACCTGTAATTTCGACAGATTACGCTGCCGTTAACCCAATTCTGAACCATTCAACAGACGGTCCCTTCCAATCAATTTCATCCTCCTTAATTAAACACTACTCCAAACTAGAATCGAATCCACTTACCTGAACCATGGTAACGAAATACACGTCGCTCCTGGCCAGCATCTCCTCGATGAATTTGATCAATTCCTCTCTGTACTCCTTCTTACTCTTCAACCACGAGGCGTGGAAGTGAAGGCCAAGTGGCGCTCTGTTGCTGCTGAAGTGCCTGTTGAAATTGTGCCTGAGGAGCCTAGCGAACTGCTCGCCAGTCTGAATGTTCGAGCAGGAGTCCACCATGTGACAGCCAGGTAGAGACTCGTCGAAAGTGGGGTCGTCTCTTCTGTCCAATTCGTTCATCACCATCTCCCAGACAGGATGCGATCTCGACGGACAGTTCCCGCCGTTTCCGTTGCACTTGTGCGGCATCCTGAAGTACAACGTGTACGGCCAGATAGGCACACGACCTAATGAGGCGGTAATGGAGGCGTCATAGACGAAGAATTGGTCAGCCATCATCTCGAACTGCTTGTTACCACCGACGCGGAGATACGGAGCCCTCATCCCGATAATGGAACCATCAGTGATGTTTGCGAAGCGTTCGATAATGAGTCTGGCTCCAGCCATCTCCGCCAGCCAGTCGTCGTACGTTCCCTGGGTCCAATATTGCGGGTCGTCTTTGTGGGTCAAAGAGAACACTGCGATCTCGTGGCCACGGCGGTGAAGATCTTGGACGGCAGAGTAATTGGTGTATTTGTGGGAAACGAAGAACGTTCCTCTGATCTGGCAGCCGTTAGGATTCTGGCGTTGCCCGTTGAAGATTTCCTCGTACAAGTCTATGTTGTCCACGTTCACGGCTCCGTTGAAAGTGATGGTGATCATTTGGGGGACCTGGGTTGGCTCGATGTTTCCGGGAATTCTGGTACCATCGGCGGAACAGTAGCAATCGGGAAGCACGCATTGGGTCGGATCGCAATCTGGCGCGCGGTTTGGATCGGTTTCCACGGCTGCAAGGAAAGATAATCACGATTACAGTTTTTACCGAAAGAAACACGGTTTATAAACGTCGATTTACTAACTATCGGGGTTCGAAAGATAAAACTTCGAATTTCAAGTTTTTCACAAATAGGCAGAAAAGATTCCTTTCATTCGAATTTAAGACGTAAGACCAATCGACATCGATAGCTATTATTTTGTGTGAATATACGATTGCGAGTCGATCATTGAAACAATAATGAAATAATAAAAATTTGGATTTAACCACTTGCGCTGGCAACTGATTGCGGACCATAACGAGTGACCAAAACCGCATACAATAATTCGTCGCTTTCTCTCTGAACTCCAGTGATGATATCACTGGATAGAAATTACTGAGAAGTAATAAATTTTATTATTTGTTTCGCCTGGGTCATACTTATTACTTATACTTGAATATATAATATTAAGTATATTATATATAATATATTTAAAACTGAGGAAATATTGCAATATTGAGAGACAAAAAATTCTCGACGTCTGTGGCACGTCATTCCAGCGCAAGAGGTTAAAATACTAAAAATATCTACGAAAGTATATCAACAGATTGTATTTGCATCGACTCTAAAGAATTCTACGGTTCGTTATGCGTCGCTGACCAAAAGAAGAAAGACTTACGATCGCGATCCGATCGAATCGAAACACTTACTGCACGCGTTCTCGTCGGATTCGTCCTTGCAGTCGGGTTTACCGTTGCAGAAGAGCTCCTTGTCCACGCACTCGCCGTTACCGCACGACAGTTTCCCCTCGGGGCAGACTGGTTCGTCAGTCCTCAAGATGGGCAACACCTTACGTGGCTCTGCAAACGTAATCCTCGTTAACGGGCCGACTCGTCGGCTGACACGGCGTCGATCGATCGCTACTACGCGGCCATTTGGCGACCACCACAAACTGTAACGTCTACTTTTACTTCGCCCAATTTATGTACAAAGATCGTAACGCGCTCACCAGTGGCGCAGGTGATTCTACTTCAATTCGCAGAATTTACGTCGTCAGGGAAATCGAGCAAACGATGCTCCTCGTAGCTAACACTACATACAGCAGTGATGTCGGGTTTAATTTCTGCGAAATTCTTGGTGGAGTTAAAGGTTGCTACTGTGCGGGATTAATGTGGCCCAAAGCTATGGTACCTCGCCAGGTTGGATATTAAATATCGAACTAACTATGTACATCTCGTATGGCCAGTTACGATTTTCTGTCTGTTTAATCTGGTATCTATATACACGTGTACAGTGCGAAGAGATTTCTTGGCATTTTCGGCGACCGTTTCTGATCGTGAATTAAATTAATCTTGGAGTATAGTGGTGAAATGTTACGTTTCTTGCACGCTTTTATTGCTACTTTATTCTAACTTTTAAAAAGTACATGGATTTCCAAACTTGTCTTTAAACTGGAGCCTCCAACGCAGTTTTGTTATGTTTGATGTGGGCACAAAAAATCTCTCTGATTATCTCACTTGTATCACAAATTGCAGCTTACAAGGGAAGATTACAGAAGAACAGGAATTATTTGAACTCTATTTCTATCTATTCTCTCTGCTAATTGTCTCTTTATTTCAACTAAATGATAAAATGACAGAAAGTCACGAATTGTCAGGGAATTCGATTTGTCCTTGTGTCAACAGTTCCTACGCCACTGAATGAGTTCGAACCACCTTTCGTTAGCTTCTCTTCAATTTTTTTTTTTTTTTTTCGTTTCCGAGGAATTTCTCTCTGATTTTTAGCGGCCTCGCGACTGGAAAAGCGTATAACAGAATCAACGTAATGGGCATGACAAACAGAACGAATTAGAAAATATAATAAAAAGAAAATCCTTGTAAATCGGTCTTGAAGGTTCTTGAAAAAGAACTGTAGATTTCTCTTTCCTCGAGGAACCTTCAAGATCGCAAGGAACTCCATGGATCGAGAGAAACAAAATAACGAAAGAGAGAGAGAGAGAGAGAATGTTGGAGAGACGAAAAATCGACAAACTAACGTTGCCCATCACGAGAAGTCGAGAGTATCGTTTGTTTCGTTGGCTCGCAACGATTCGCACGCAGTTCTAAATCCATGAATTACTCACACAAACAAATACAGCGACTCACGAATGTATCTGAACATTTTTACGAATATATTACATGTGTTTATGCAAAAACTTGAATTACGCTGTAATGTTTTTGTAGCGAATTGATTGTTTTTTAATTTATTAAAACTCTTGTTCCAATTATGATAATAATTTTGTGAAAGTTTACAATAAATATCATTTAACTTCTACGCAGATTTTCAGATTTGTTTCGAATTTTGCCAATTTTTATCACGAAGAAATCATGTAGAAAATCTTTTCTGTATAATGTATAAGTGTTCAAATATTTTTGTGAGCCAGGCGCAGGCGTTGTTGAGATAAAAATGCGAGAAAATAGAAATACATGGTAAAGAAATGGACTGTTGCGAAAAAGGCAAAAAGAAAAAAAAAAAAAAAAAAAACAGGCAGCGGAAAAGTAAAAATAAAATAAAAAGTGAGTCGGTGCCTCGACGTGCCACACGTCGAGAGAACGAACCGAAGGAGAAAAGAGAATTGCAAGTGAACCAACACACGCGCAAATTCACGTACACACGGCGAGCAGCGAAAAAGTATAGACGGGGAACACACGAGACCACTCCGATTTAATTTCATTTGCGATTCGATTTGCAAACCAAGTTTCGAAATGCAAAAGAAACAAGATAATCTTTGCCGACGGATTACTAACTCCGTATTTTTCTCTCTTCTGCGTCTTGTTGATTTTTTAAAATATTTAAATCGTGCTCGAAGCAAATTTTTTTTAATCGAGTTTTGCAGTTTGCTTGTTAAAATATTTGCAAAAATATGCTCATTTTTAATGAAAGTTTTCGACGCGACTAAGATCTATCGTAAACGATCATCGACGTTCAAAAGGACATATAATTTATTCTTTATTCGTATAAAGTACCATTCTTAATATAAATTCTGGCAAGAAAACGAGTTAAATTATTTTTCGTAGCTTCATTTAATTAAGCTAATCTGATAATTCTAATAATCTAATAATTCTTTTCGTGAAGCTTATCTGAAGTGAACAGAACCGTGAGATTTGAAAAAGGCATGAAACCAAACTTAATCCCGTACTTTAATGTTTAAAGTCCAAACAATTGGACTTTAAGTGATCAAAGCGCGTCATTTATATCTCCCTTGAGGCGAGCAATCGCGTGTTTCTCTTTCCCACGAAATTAAATCGGAGCGAACGGGTCCCACGGGAGCATGAGCAAACAGAGCCAGGCGCTTCGAGACGGAAGCGGAGGAATTCGACTCGGTTGCGACAAACTCGCGGCAACTAGTGCGTGACATAGAGAAAATGGCGACAGCGCAAGAATAAGAATAAGAATAAGAAGAAGAAGAAGAAGAAGAAGAAGAAGAAGAAGAAGAAGATAGAAATTGGCAGTTGAAAAATCCTGCGTTTCGCAAGAAGTGTGAAAGACTATGTGAGATTACATCCCGGCTGGAAAGTGAGAGAAAGAAGGAAAGAATTAATGCGATCGTTCGGCCAATTGGCGCAGATTTCGAGCAGTAAAAGCGAACCAGCCGACTGAGTAACGAGGAGCCGTTGTAAGGAGGCCAGATCGTCGAAGCGAAACCGATCTGGATGCGGACAGACACAGCAAGACAGACAGAGACAGAATATATAGTGGGAGAAAGAAAGAAAAAAAAGAGAAAGAGTGACATATGTGTACGCATAGCGAGAAAGAGAGAGAGAGAGAGAGAGGGAGAGAGAGAAAATAAGATCGAGATCAGCGATTGAGAACGTGCTGCCTTGTACCTGGAGCGATCGCGAAAGAATCGGTTGAGATATATCGGTTGATGTGTGAGCATATATGTACATACAGCCCACAGTCAGTATGCACAGGAGAATTCACAGTATGTGAGCGTGAATTCTATAAAACTGAAAAGTCAGATTGCGTGCCGGTAGTCGATTTCGAGAAATCGAATAAAATAGAAATTCTGCCTTTAGATTCTAGATTTAATAGTTGGCCAAGGAAATTTTTCATCTAGATTTTTCACTCGATCTTTTGATCAGACCAACAGGGTTTGTTATTCTTTCAAACAGACAATTTCTGAACGCTACTCGTTAATTCTGGTTTTTGTTTGCTTCGTTTGCTTCGACAATCGGCACGGAATGTTGATCGATGACAATTTAAGAGGCGACGAAAGTTGAATTGGCGAGATGGAAGAAGTTGTTAGTGTTGCAACGTGAGTCGAGAGAGTTGGGTGAATCAGTCAGGAAGAGGGGTATTCGATGAGTTTGAAACTGGGTTAGAACGGAGCTTCTCGTCTCCCGAGCTGCACTTTCGCTCAAAATCGGAACCAGTCGCCCGGCCGCGAATCGAAAGTGGCCAGACTGGAGATTACAGCGTCTCGAAAGTAGTCTCGTATGTAATGATCGTGTATTTTCACTCCGGCGAACGTGTCGGGCTCGCGTCGTTCGCGTAACTCCGCGGCTTGAAAAATCAACCTTGCGGACGGTTCGCTTTTGCGTGACTTTAGAAAGTACAGGACACTCGATTTAGTCAGATATTTCCGTTGGAATTTCACAAGCAGTTCAGTACTTTGCGATTAGAATTTCGTTCAGCTCGCGCGAGAGCAAAATATCCAAGTTGGTTGGTTTAATATCCAGTTTAATTCGTCAATTAAATTCAGTAGCAAGGATCGTCGTGAAATGAAATTTAAAAGAAGTTTGCGTCTGTTTCTCTTTCATTCTCATGGAGACGAGAAGGGTCGTGGATGAATATCAAAAGTGCGTGAGGAATATCGGTGCGTTAGTACTGCCTTACGAATGGTGCGTGCTACGTTGCGAGTCTACGAAGGAACCGGCCTTCTCCGTATCTTACGAAGCATTTTTCATCATCCTTAATAAAAAGGAGAGAGGAAAAATCTCAAAATTTTGTCCTTTCTGCTAGGAAATGCGTTTAATTTGCCTGTTTATCTGTTAATTAAAACTAATATAAATATAATATAAATCATCTCCAATCCAACTTCTATGAAAACTTTAATGAAAAGGCAATGTACAAGTTTCAAATTTGAAAGATACCATTGTCAGATGGTAAATTGCTCCCTGTTAAATAAAATATTAAAAAGAACGAAAACAAAACAAAATGTTAGAAAACAGTTCGCTGTATCAAAACGCATTTCCCGAGGAAAGGGGGAACGGAGACAGGCACACCGGTTCACCCTGGTCGATACATCGACTTACTCTCGAGCTTGTCACAGTTGGTGACTTTGCCCTTCCAGTCGCAGGTTTGTTTGTCCAAGTCAAAGGCCAGCCCGCTGGGACACGTGATTTGCTTCAGGCCGGATTTCGTGCACCTGTTCGTATCGGACAGAAAGCAAACGGGACGCCGTTTAATTAAATAGCAATCGAAATGAAACGCTTACTCTCCAGCTGGTCGCAGTTCTTCACGTTTGTCTTCCAGTCGCACGTTTGACGCTCGATATCGAATGCCAGACCTGTTGGACATCGTACGGTCGCCAACCTGGTCACCCCGATCTCGCTCGCTTTGTCGCATCTGTGATTCAAGTTTAACACTCTTTGTTCCTTTTTTTCTTTTTTCTAATTTAAACAAATATTTGATTCGTGGTTTTCGTTTAATTTTACGATTGAAAATTTTCCGCCGATGTTGTTATTTTTGCAAAATGCTGTCAGATCGACGATGAAGTAGAAATATCATTTGTTACGATACGATAGGTTATAATTCTCTTACAGTTTATAGTGTATGATAGTGTAAAACCATATTCTAACCGTGTTAAATATATGTTACTGATTTCGATAAAGAAATTTAGTTTTGATAGACGTTTATTTTATTCTGCACTGAATCAGTAGAAACATCTATTATATTAACTAAATATATGAATACTAAAAATATGAAATTATTATCAATCGCGAACAGAATAAAATATGTTCGGAATACTTTTGTGATCGATTGTATAGGACCTTTTAATTCAATAAATGATCCTGCATAAAAATTGACAAGAATGAAAATAGGTACGAATTTACAAGACTTGTAGGTGAATTGTTACTTGGAAAAATGTCAATGGGAAATAATTTTGCAAAAAGTTCGTATGAAGAACGAATGAAGACGAGAGGACCGGAATAAAAGTGGATTTTACGATCCACAATTTTTCGAATTCTCTTAGGACGCGTGACATTCTATGACAGGATCTCTCGCGTTCTTGCTCCGTGGATATTTTTGCACGCGTGTCCTTGACGATAGAATACTTTATCCGTCCGAGTGAGTAAGGATACGGTGTCTGTCGTCATCGGCTGGAAAGCGAGTCCTGTATCCAGTATCAGGCTCGCCTTGAACCTTTCGACGCGGAATTCGATCGCGAAGGAGCCGAAGGGATTCGCCGTTCGATCCTCCGTGATCGATCCTTTGCGTAAATCATGCCTCTACCGTTCATTTCATTGACCTTTGGAATTGATTTATTGGATATTGAATCGACTACGATCCAACACGAACGATCGAAATTGATTGTCTTTCATTTGAGGGACAAAATGTTTATTTTTGAACAATGACGCGATGATATCTTAAGAAATATAATCCTTTCAAAATTCTTTCAACATATTTTTTGTGGATTTTGAAGGACATTTTGCTAATGGTAGAACTACTGCTTATTATTTATTACTACTACGAATGTATAATAAATATTGTTCATTTTGACATTTTATTAACAGAAGTTTTATATCCGAGCCACTGACACTTCCTAGAGTAGATTTCAGTTGTTTCTCAAGTCTTTGCTTAAATGCCAGTTCACGGGACGACGGCAGACGACGATTGAAAAAAATTAAATTGAGGAAAATTACCTTACGACGTCCCGGCAGTCTCCCTCAACGTTCAACCGGAAATACTCGTCTCCTGGCCTATCTTGGCATAATTCCTCGGCATTTGCGTCAATTCCATCAGCCCCTTCCTCGTCTTGTGCTCTGACCTGGATTCCTGGAAATTCAAAATCTTCTTAACTTTCTTTTTTTCATCTGCTTAACAATAGAATGATCAGTTCAGATTTTGCCTTCCAATGTTAAACTACAATCGTGAAACATAGTGGGATTTTCATTTATTTTGTATTTCGAAGGGAAGCCATCTTCGAAAGAAAAGAGATACCGCGTTCTCATTCTCTAGCTGTTTGACCACTGACAATTACGCACTTTCTCTATCATCGATTACATAAACGTCTCTCGACCCACGATCACGATCTCTAACGTGACTTCACATCGTTCCCTCCTTTCTTCGTCTCATTAAAGAATCTAACGACAGGTTCGTTGAACACGATTAAAAGGAAGTTGCCAATTTAAGAAACGCTTGATTTCATTATTTTCCTACCCGTACTTCCTCTTCCATTATAGTAAAGAAAATGTAAGAGCAGTCGTTCCTCAGTCATAGGTGTTGAAATTTTGAACGGACATCTTTCGAAGAGTATAAAAAGTACGTACTACTACTTTTTTATCTTCAAGATTCTCCACGATGAAATTCGGGTGGAAGAAGTGAGAAAGAAACGTCGCTAACAGTATTCGACAGACAGGATTCGCATGACATTTAAATAAAAAGGGCACAGATTGGTATATATTGTGGAGGATCGTCCGAGGAAAATGTCGCGATCGTTGGAAGCTACGATATCCAGAGATCGTAGACCGAATACATCGGGGTCGGTGAACCCCCGTAGAAGTAGAAAGTCTTGGAAATGTCAGGGCAACGAGACGGGGGTGGGGAGGGAAGCGACAGTGGTTCTCCAAAGTAGGTTCTCCGTCTGTCTCTCTCTTTCTCTCTCTGTCCTCCCATCGTCAAACATCCTCGATCGAACAAACCTCGAACGTACCTCTTCGTTTATCCGCGATCGCGAATCGTGATCTGTAATCATGATCGATGCCGCTTCCGGACAATTCGTCTTTCTTACGTTGACTGAGATGGTCTTATGAATTTCACTTTGTCGACAAGATAACGAGAGATCAATTTTTATCAAGGCAAGCGAATTTCACTTTGTCGACAAGATAACGAGAGATCAATTTTTATCAAGGCAAGCGAATTTCATTTTATCGTCGAAAGATTTATTTCTTGATAAAGAGTTGTCTTTATAGGAAGGAATATTGAGATTGTTTCGAATGTTTTAAGCTTTATCAGGATCAAAAAGCTTTCCAGTTTCTGTGACGAAAGAAATATTTGTCAGTTGTCAGTCTGTATTGGTTGGTACAACTGAATCGAATTAGTATAGTTCTACTTAAGAAGCTGTTTGACGTGTCTTGTCGTCGCGTCAATCGTTGAAGTCACCAGAACTTTCATGGCGCCGAGGCACCTTTCGGTCTCGAGTCATTTAAGGCGATCGTAAAGCAACCACAAGATTTTCAGAGTCTTTGTTTAGTTTTCATTAATTAACATTTCAGGTTTTTTTTAAACAAAAGTTTGAAAGCAGTTAATTTAAAGGTAATTGGTTTATTTCTATCGAGGAAAATTAAAAGACTACAAGTTGTAATAGAATTTTGTAAGATTAAGGTTCGTTATTTGAGCGAAATTAAGGAACAATAACTTTGAACACCAAACGATCCTTGAGCCGAAAGTTCTCGTGGAAACCCGTCCGATCCAGAGGAAACTCTGTAAATGTCGAAAACAACTTTCACCTGCAGCGAGCATTTGAAGAATCGACGCCTAGAAGGCCAGGTGTTTCTCTTCTCAGCGAGAAATCAGGCTTATCACCAAAGATTCTCGATCTTCCAATTAAACTTTCACTCCAAACAAGAGATATCCCGACTCCCGTTACGACAACCCTCTGCTCTGCTAAAGCTCTTTAAAGAAACAAACAAATTACCTAAAATCCAATTTAACCCGATCTATAGTCGAGACTATAGAACTCTTTCGAGAGCTCATCAAACATGGATCTAGAAACGTTACACAACACCTTCAGTCCAACCTGAACTCGTCTCCAATTTAATTTAAACTCGTAACTTCCATCTAAATTCAAATTTTAATTGGAAAGTTTCAACTTTCTTTCGATTAATTCTTCAAAAAAAAAAAAAAAAGAAGAAGAAGAAGAGAGAAAAAAGAAAATGAAGAGAACAACCTGTTGCCCCGATGCTCGATGTCCGTGAATGAAACGCGGCCAAACGGAAATAGAGAAGATGTAGCAACAACTACAGTGTACTCACCGGCGAACAGAAAGAGGGATCCAAGAAGGAGCAGGAACTTCGGCGACATCGTGGCCGTCGTGGTCGTCGCCGTCATCGTCGTTGTCAGGACAAAGAGTGTCTGGACAAGCCGCGCCCTCTCGCCCCTCTATATGTGCACCACCACTCCTTCCTCTTCGTCGAAGGACTTTCACCATCCGGATAGTGCTGCCACCTTTTTCACGTCGTAAAATAGACGGTGAACAGGGGGTCCATTCCTTCCGTTTGTTCTTGGCGAACGAGAGGGGACCGTGGAATTCCGTTTCTTCACACGATATTCCTTGTCTCGCGTGATCGAATCCCGGTACCACTCGTCGTTCGTGGTTTTGAGCCGAGAGATCGGGAGGAAGAAGATTAACGATCGTTCGACACGATTGGTGCTCTGAATTCGCCTATTTTGTTCTACTTTCTTTGATATCTGCTCTTCCTCCTTTTTCTTCTTCTTTTTTCTTTCTTTCAAACGGAGAGTTCTTCTGACAGGAGAGGTAGCATGTGACGAAGGGAGAAAGATCGCTGTGAGAACATTTGTAACGAATATGAATATTTGAGAAGTACTTTTATGGGGAATTCAAACGAACGCTCGAATTGAAGCACTAAAAGTAAGATTTACGTACGTATGAGAAATTGGTATGAGTTCGTGGGAAATTTAAAAATAAGATGTAAGAAATATAAATGTCACGGCACGCAGTGTAAAATGAAACGAATGCTGAGAATTTATTCCTTTGGTTCGTACGTCCATAAAAACGCGATCTTGTGTGGACGTCCAAGGTTGATTAGTCGCATTTGAAATATTAATTTTTTCACGTTTCAATCCGCAATTAATTATTCGCGTCGTTGTAATTGTTTTGTAGAATACCGCGAACAGGTGGATTGAATTTGTAGTTCGATCGAAAAGTGAAAATACGCGTCGTTTTACAATCTTCGTGAAAATGTCGACTGACAGCGGTGGTTTTAAAAAGGGGCAACGAAAAATGACTGGCGCTCGTAAAACTCGCGATGAAAGTATCGTCGACGTGCCTGTGTAACTTTCCACGAAAAGTGTCCTGTATATGACGTTTTTATCGATGCGACGTAAACCTTGAACCTTTCCGCTTTCAGCATAAAATTCGGCAAGATGTCTCACGAATTTTTCAATCGAATTTGATGATTATTTTATTTAGTATTATTAAAATGCCAGTACGTTTATTACGTTATTCATAAATATCCAGATACTTTGACTTTTTACTTTTTTAAAAAATTAAATTAAAACAGCAGTAATCAGTATTGACATTTCTTGATTGATACGCTATTGTTGAATAATAAATATCTATCGTTAATATCCCTGAAACAATCATGGAAATTAAATTGCATAAATATTTGTTTCTTCGTAATATTAGTAATTCAATTATCGCAGGAATTTTCTTTAGAGTATCATTAAACGTTATTTAATGTGAAATATGTTATTACAACATTTCCACTTTATTGTATTTTATTGTCATTGGCCGTCAGTATTTAAAAGTCAGCATAATGTTCGATCGTATAAAGAATGCATAAATCGAAGAATGTGAATATGCATGAATTAATAGAGAGGCGAATAAAGATTAATTAGCAGTTACTTTCTCTGCGTCTCATCTTCAATCTCGCTTCCTGAAGGAAATGTTATCTTCTTTCACTTTCCTTTTTTATATTTTTATATTTTTATATTTTTATATTTTTATATTTTTATATCTTTATATTTTTATATTTTTATATTTTTAAATATGACGGTTCTATTTAAATTTGCGAGCATTATAGTTATTGAAATGCACGTGTGCGAGAGACGAAATGAAAAAGAGAAAAATGTAATTTTATTCAGATTTTAAAATTCACCGAATTTAAAAACGTAGAATTACGTCGTGAAACGATCAACGAAAGCCTGTGAAAAAGAAACACGCCATCGTATCGATTCTCATTATTATTATAATAATTCATTACTCAAACAATGTATCTGCAATGATAATATCTTTCAACTTTTAACAACTTTTAACCACGATAGAGAATCCACCATTTTTTTTTTTTTTTTAATCCCATTAAAGTAAAAGGAAGCTCGTGGAGCTCCATAAAAATCTCAAATTACTCGTAAAACACGCCATCGATAATGGAGCCATCGATTCCCACCGTGAAACGTAAGCATACATCCCCTTGATGAGAATGAATTCCAGAGGAATTCTTTTATTTCCCCCCGTTTCCATTTCACTCTGCCACACGGTTGCCTCGCGAAGCCGCGTAAATTATTTACGTGGTTTTTAAAGCTGCTTGCCAAATAATTCTCATTTTTCATTCTCCCAACCTCCTTGCCCTTCCAACCACCACCTCTCTACATCTTCTTCGTATCGCTGTCAGCGTGACACGTTTGCGCAATGCATTTATTCCCGAGCTGCGCGACGATGCACCGGGTGGTTAATAAATCTGCAGCTTGCGCGGTAAAAGGTTATCGACGTCGTTCGCCAGCGAAATAACTTCGCGGGACGCGCTATTGCGTTAGAACCACGTTGCATACCGCAATCCACAGTACAATTACACTCGCATTGATTCCACCTTGTGAATAGAAACTATTCGAGCTTTCTGCACATATGTGTGTATAATTTGTACGCGAGTCGCTCGTATATCAGTCGAACTGTATCGGAACAGCTGTCGTACTGTACAAAATATTTTTTTCAATAACTTGCTGCACTTTTAACGGCAGGAAATAAATTAATTAATATTCCAAGTAACAAAGTATTTTTTAATGATTTCGACGATTCAAAAAATATATAATATTCCAAGTGAAAAAGTGACATCGTTTTGAAAAGTATTGTAAAGTGTTCAGGCAAGCTTGAGTTAATACGCACGAAGAATTTCGGTTCTCTTTTTGCATTCGTTATGCGAAGCAAGGGGTATTCTTGTAGAAGAGAAATTACATGTACTTGTAGAAGGACAATTTGAACAAAGAACGAAATTTTATAGATTAAAAAGTGAGTTATTAATGCTACTGTAAATTCAAGGTAAATTTAAAGAATGTCGATCTTCTAGTATGACTTTATACCGTTGCACATCCATGTTCGATCCACTTTCAGTCTTATGAAAATTGTTTAAATCCTGAAATAGTAAAGAAATCGATTCACGAAGCTATAAATTCTTAAAGGGAACGTTCGATCTAAATGTATCACATTTTACTGCTACTTCCAATTTCTCTAGATGCCCCCAGAGATAAAAATTTTTCTGAATTACCATGTTGCATCATCATAAAAAAAAATTCATGGCGATCATTAGATTAAATTAGATATATCTGGATTACAATCATTTTCTTGAAAGTCTTAACACGGTGAATCGCGTCAAAAATGAAAGATGTAAAAATATAGATGAAGAAACTTACAGAAGTAGAAAAAACTACACTATACTGGATGAATCATTGCATTTTAAACTATTACAACTTTTAAAAAAATTTGATTTTAAAAAATAATTATATAGCAATCGTTACCACTTTGATAGCCTCACGTTAATTTTCTTCATCAAAATTATAAAAATTCAAATATCTCTGGGAACATTAAAAAAGTTTTTTGATGTTTATGGTCTTAAAGATTGAAGTCTCCTCTTTGCAACGACCTCTTAAAAATTACTGTTTTTATTTTTTGAATCTTGAACACTGGAGTTATATGACAAAATGTCAGGAGTAAATGTTTGTCGTTTTCGTCAACAAGATGAGGAAAAAAATATCGCACAGCAAGTTCTAAGAGATCGAGTTTCATGATAGTTGTAAATGTAATAATGGGAAGAAGTTTTTTTATGATTATGCAGACATTTTTATAATTTACACGGTGTAAAGACATCTTTGGGAAAAACGAACTCAAGGTTGATAAAGCACAGGTTTTACGTTTTAAAACGTCAACTGGCTTGTCATCTGCTTCATGAAGTTGCAACAGTTTAAAATATCTTACAATTTTTCACCAAGTCTGCGAATATATCCGCATCTATATAAATTTTCAAGTAAAATCAACAAATTGATGCGTTTCGAGCGGCTGAAAACAGAAAGCGTCTTAACATATTATAACTTATGAACGAGAGTGTACAACGTTTCGCGAAACCGGTGCTAGGGAAACGCGTGAGGTAAATTCGCGACGTAGCCTGTTCCCAATAATCGAATCTTGCGAAAGAAAGGATTTGCGTAGACTCCCCCTTGGCATCGAGATCGATCGAGCAGGCCTGCGTTCCTCCGTCGAGTGCTCCTCGTTTTCACCTTTATCTCGACACGTTTCTTCCACGAACGTCGAGTAACTGAGATGCCGAAGAGGATTTACAGAGGCGTTTGTTCGCCAATCGAGATCAATAAATTCCGAGATAACGCGCTAACCTATCCAAGATAATGCTCTGTAACGCGTAATCGCCTTTCGTTGCGGCACGCTGAAATCCTGCATTTCCCGCGAACGTGATTAACAAATTAACCTCTTGCGCTCGAATGACGTGTTTTTTGTTCCAAAATTGTAATATTTTTTTCCCAGTTTCAAGTATATTTAAATATAACCCAGGCGAAACAAATAATAAATTTATTACTTCTCAATAATTTCTATCCAGTGATATCATATCGGCGACTTCAGAAAGAAAGCGACGAATTATTGTGTACGGTTTGGTCACTCGTTATGGTCCGCAATCAATTGCAAGGGGCAAGTGGTTAAAGAACAAATCGACTGAAATCGTCGAATTGAAACGACGAACTTGTGCTTGGTTTTTTTAACTTCGATCGATCGATGGGAAGAACGAGCGGAAAAATGGAGAAACTCGAGATTACTCGGGATAATGTCGATATCAATCTCGATACGCAAAAAAGGAAGACAATGAGATTCAAATCGGAGGGACGGGTGTTTCGCCGCTGAGAATGTTGCAAGTCGTTTCTAATTGCAATTAACAAATCCTGGCTCGCCTGGTAAGCTTGTAAATTGGCCAAAAGGACACAGCGACGTCGGTTAAGTCGTAGAAGCAACATTGTGTATGAAAAAAAAAAGAAAACCTTGATGCAGACGCGACGATGATGATGATGAATTGCACAAAAATTCTCCATTAACGTCGAATCTCTTCTTTGCGTGCTTTTCTTCTATGTTTCTTTTTTTCTCCTCCCTTCCTCGTGAGTC